AGAGGATAATAGGGGGTCCCCGATTGCAGACAAATACACACTTAGGTGAGTCCGTTTGTGTCAGTGCAGTCGAAAATGAGGGTCAAGTTTTAAAACATGAAGTGAATCCTTAAACTGTCCTGTAGTCTTTTTGTTTGACAATATTGATTCAAATGCCACAATAATCGTCAGTAGTGAACCAAAATGACTCTTCCAAAATATTTTGGGAGCTTAGGGATCGGGGAGCTTAATATCCTTTCCCAACTTTGGACAATAATTCCACTGTATAAAGTTAAAGGTCAGCTGCCTACTCAGTCACCCCAATCCCCATACTTTCCTGTCCCATTTTCTTGTTCCTCCCAATATCCCACCCTACTTATCAAGTAATAAGTATCCCAACTCTTGTCCCCGTGTAGGAACAGAGATCCTGTCAACTAAACATGTTCATCTACAGTGAGTTGTGCAAGAATGTTGGGCAGTGTTTTTCTACCAAATTATTGGATGAGGTAACAACCTTGTGTCGTTTGAGTGCAGTATGTTTCATTTACAAGGGAACAACTTTTCACATAAGTGTAGGCAGTTCAAATTTTGACCGAGCATTGTTTGTTTCCTTTATAATGATCAGTGCTTGCTGTTATTAATACTTCTACATGAGTTGACGTATTTTACGGGCATACAAACTCTTCCCCAAAGAGGATACCCATCGTTCTTGCACCTAGCCCTATAAGTGCCAGTCAACTCTTTGGAGAACACGTACGTCCGGTTTTTTTAAGAAGATGACCCGTTGAAGAGTAATCGAAGAGCCCGCGGACGTGTTATCTCTCAGCACTGGTTCCCAAGCGTTCCTTCCTGTTCCAACATTTGGCGCACTCCGATTCGAAGGGTCTAGCGGCAGCTTGTCAAAAGACAGATTCTCCATCTCCTGAGAAGGTTATTGACGGCTGTTGTGTGTCATAAATATGGGTAATTTCTCACCGCTAATTTCACAGTCCACAGCAATATGCAATGACTTGATTTGGTTTGAAGTCGGCTGAGGGGCAATCATCTATATCGTGGAATGCAAATTTCAAACAATTTCCCCCCTGTACGGGTTTCAAGCTATCCCACCATCAGATAGCATTATTCCCTACACACGTGTACTTTACTTTCAGGTTCAATAGTTCACACTTTCGTTCACGCCATTTTGTTTAATGGCCTGGGGTGATGTTGATATTTGTTCTCTTTAAATCCCGCCGACGATAAACATTCCACCGAATCATTGAAGCAGCAGGTATTTTGTGTTTTTAAACAGTCACGGACTTTTCGGGGGGTTGTGAACGATTCTTTCGGCGTGTGTTTTATAGCTCCATGGTTGCACAGGCTGCTAGCCTGCCTTTTTCCCGCTTGCGTTGTGTTGACTCATAAGCCGTCTGTAGAAAACTGCAATTCCAAATACTGCTCCTGGCAAATCTGACCATACAGACTGCCGAGAAGTGCTAAATCACAAGTGTATCTGGAAATGCGAACGGAACCCTTAAAATAAGGCGATAAGGATCCTATTTCCCAAACGCAAAACACCATGTCGCATTCGAATAAACCTTTCTTATAGTGGGCATTCCCGATTTCAAATTAAATGCAAAAAGACATGAGCAACTGTATTTCATTATTTTGTTTGACTTTCCAAGACTGCATTCACCAAGAAATAAAAGTGGTTGAGACTTGGCCTTTCCGAGTGTGCCACAAGGGGAAGTCAATAGGCCTGTATGTTTATTTGATCTTGGGTAACTGCTTCAACCGAGCAGCATTTTTGTTCTGCTAACAGGTTACCTAGCCCTATATGCGATGCTTGACTGACATTGATTGAGAGTCAAGGAAACATCTTCATTCGGACTAAGGGAGCTTCGCTGACATTGAGTGATGGCCGAATGCAGACTGAGATCTTATGCCCAGAAGGCGAACATAATGGCAGCCTCCGAGCCAAAATCGTTCACATCGTTCCCACTGAAAGGTGCGCATGCCCGGAGCTAAGTGTCTGCTGCCACCAGTAGTACACATTTATTTTAAGTAAAGGGAGATTACGTCCTCGAATGCGCCCAATTGTGCTATAAAACGCGTTTTAAAGGAAATTATGTTAATTAGGAAGAGCATTTAAAAAATAGGATATTAATTTCCACAAAACCATCCTTAAAAAATCTGGCTTTTTTGTCTTATTCTTGCGAGAACCATGCGAGAACGAACTTCGGGGGTCGAAATGTTGACTCTCAAAAATCGAGCTGTTGAGTGCTTGTTTTGAATCCTGCCGCACAGTGCATCGCATTCTGCGGACGTGCGAGAAACACTATTTGTGTATTGGTGCTGTGTGTATTATGGACACACACACAACGTTTACGGTACATTGAATGGACACGGCTGGAAATGCGTGTGCGTATGCCACAAAATGTCAGATGTATAAACATCTGGGGGTTTTTTTCTTTTCTCGGAAACGTTAGACAGTAGGATAGTTTCCTTTCAACCACAGACCTTTGAAAAAGGATAAATAAACAATTCAAAAACAATAACATTTTCGGGGATTTCAGGCCGTCATGCCCCTTTGAGCCACCAGTATAGTTATTGTATTAGAACTAATACTTTTAGCACACGTAACAATTAACGAGTTTCCAAACAGAAACTGTCGGGTTCAAAGCGTGAATTGTGTGTCTGTGTGTTGAATAATTTTGTTTAAAAATAAACTGCATAATCTGATATATGAATACTAGTGTCAGTCTCGCCTGTCCATCATCATCAGCGGGTACGTAATGCCAATCTCAGCTGGATGTTTACAGAATCAATTTATGGAATAAATGAAAAAGGTCATCACACAATCAAAAGGTCAGTTTTTAGGATGTTGTCCAGCATCAATGGGTTGGCCAGAAGCCAGGTCGGGGTGTGCCTTTGAAGTACGGCTCGCGCACTTTTACGCAACACGTTACACGCCGAGACCGCACGGGATGTCCGGAATGAGGAGGCGGACGATCCAAGCAGACCGGGCGGGCTACGGGACCCCGGGGTCCCGTGGTCACTAGTAAAGCCGTCCAAAGCCTCGGGTTAGGTGGCGATAATTCGCCCGAGCGTAACTCCTGTCACTGTCAGTTTGCAGCCGGTCATTTTGATCGGCGTGGACACTGCTGTCTAGAGATTGCAATCAAACTCACACAGTTCTGCGTCCGTGCCACGTTTCCGTTTAAGATGAGATCTAATCAAGACTGGCTTTAACTTGTTTCGTCGGTCTTACTCAATTTATCGCCCATGGTGCGGTTTTAAAAGCTACCAGATTTTGCCAAAAGTTACTCAAGAAGTAACACCGGTTCAACCCACCTTCTAGCCAAACACACCGGTGTCGAGCCATTACAATGAAGCCAATAAGAGTGATTGTAAACGGTGTTCTGGACCTTGAGGGTCGAATTTAGGAGTCCATGCATAACTTTGTCTTATTATGGCCCAGCACACTACTGCTGAACATGACCCCCCCCCCCCACCCACTTTTTAAAGTGTGTGTGTGTGTGGGGGGGGGGGGGGGTAACATATCGTTTGTTCCCCCACTTTGTTCGTCCTCGAATAAAAATGGTACCCTATATTTGATTCGGTAGCTCGGAATAGCTGATTGAATTACTCCAAACTCGAAAATGGTGTTCAATATCTATCTGTTGCTTAAACAAAATTGGTGAAAGTGGTCAGAAATTGCCTCAGATCGCACCGCAGAGCACCTATAGAATCCAAAAGTTCAGGGGTTATGCGGGCCCCGAACCCCACGCCATATGGCTTCGCGCTCACATTACTTCCGCACAAGGTATGTCCCCCTCTTTCAGAAGCGATTGACGCCCTTGGCTGCTTTCACTGTCTTCAGAACACAAAAATGCAATTTTCATGAGAAAATGGCTCCATCGAAAGGTCATTGCGAGGAAGTTGACCAGCCTTTCCTGCTGCTGCTACAGTCCGCACCTGGCAACACTACAACCGAAAGGTCACTGCAGTAAATCACCTTGGGACCTCACGTGATGACTCAAATACTTTTGCCCTTCCAAAATTCTTACAATAGTTTCTTCATGTTATTCCCAGAAGTTGTTTTTGCACAGTCTGACAGAATATGATTGGGGAATAAGTCATGGAACATCGCCCTAGGGCTTTTGTCTGATCTTATCAAGACAATTGTGATTAGTAATGGTAACCGGACACCTGCGACACATCAAACCTTTAAACGATCTCTTAGTAGGCGTGCGCTAAGACATCATGGTTCCTCTCCTGTCCTCTTTTGTTCCCCTTTAGCAGCAGGATACATCATGTTTTATCCAAATACCATTTTGCGAATGTCATCCTAGACACTGGAGAGTAGACAGATAAGACAAAGGCTTCATAATAAACAGAAAAACCTCTCAATCGATCACCCTAGAGGGATTCTCACATCAACGCGCCAATAAGTCAATCCGACACCCAACTTGTCTGAGAGGAAAACTTCTATTAAGTTGATCTTGTTTACGCTAATGCTTGGTCATTCAAGGCTTAAGATTATATCTATGACACGATCGAAGTTTTTGAGACGACTTCAAATTAAGTTTCAAAACTACTTTCAATTTTTACAATAACCCCTTCCTTTCCATATCAGACGTCTCCTTCAAAAGACAAAAAAACAACATCAGCAATAATCCATTGAAAGGGTTGACCTTCGTACCCCGTAAAGGCTTTAAGCAGATGTTCATTTACCGAAGTCTCATCGGTTGCTCTTTGAAATGTACTAAGCGGTTTTGATTAAGCACAGAATGTGACTGTTCGCAGCACAGAAAAAAATAATTGACCCCAAAACAGGTTACAGCTGATTCTGCTTGTCACATGATTTTGCTAATTGCTCGTAGCATCTCGACGGAATTGGGTCATTCAGTAATGTGACGCTGATAATTACTAAAGCCATGATAAGAGTTTCAGCCCAGAAACCGAGGCTAAACTGCATAAACATCCCGAGAAGCACATCCCTCATGCTTTTCTTCTTTTTTCTCTTTTCTGTCTTGTAGCTATCTGCGAGAGGCCCTGCGTGCATGGAACCTGCCTCGGTAATAACCAGTGCCAGTGCGAGCCGGGATACCGTGGTTCAACATGCGCCAAAGGTAAGCGCCTTAAGCAAGACGAACGAGCTGGATATAGCATCCTAAACATTATCAGTTCACACACTCAGGTTATGATTCCTGTCTCTCAGTCAGTGATCCATAAACACTAATCCCATTACCCCAGTTATTATAACTGGGACATTTTGGTCTACACGTCTCGTAGATTACCAGGAAGCCTTCAGTGGCTTGTTGATTGCAAGGAAGAGGTTTGTAAGACCATAGAGAAGGGAGGCCTACACTCTCTTATTAATCAACAAGAGTTACATTTGCCTTTATTCGTGACGGACCTTGGCAGAAGTTAAGTTATAGGTTAACACCCAAGGTTACATTTTTAAATCAATTCCCTCGATAGAAATCGCAATATTGGAACGAAAGCGAGGCTGCACTTGCTAAATCAAAGACTCCTTCGCGCCGATAGGTGTATAATCCATTTAGTTGCCGAAGCATGCCAGTAGAGTCAACTCAACTGTGCAAAGGGCTCTTAGGAAGCAACTGTAGGCGTGTCTGCTCTGATAGCTGTGAGTCAAACCGCGGGTAAGATGTGAAATCAAACGATACAATCTAACGGCGTTGTGGTCTTGCTCCCAATGAGGTGAAGGTCATAGCAAAGATGGGACCTCGTGAGATACTATCTCGGACATAACAGGTGCCCTTGTCATCTAGATAACAGAGATTAAACTCGTGGATTAAGTACGCTAATGACAGTTCCTTTAAGGCTGGCCGCGGGAGGAGGTACCCTAGCGTTATAGCAATGCAACTGCTGTCACATTACATCACAGTAGCGGAATCTCTTGATTATCTGATTAGAGTCCCCTGCGCCAATTGCAGATGTCGATCCGTCTGGACTAAATTGCTGCCGCTTATTGAATTACGTTTGCTAATCTTATCGGCGAACATTATCGCCCCCTCGCAATGTCACAGAACAGAAAGAGTTAAAGATTTACGATTGAGCTGTGAAACAAAAAAAGTGTGTCGTGTGTGGCTTTTTTGGAGTAATTGTGATGGTTTAAGACTAGATATCATCATGTCAACATCAACTTGTGCCATGTGTGATTTAAGCAGTCAGGTGGTCCAAATGAATGTGCCTTTACGTGATATGTATCATCGGATGCATGGTTTTGGCTTGATAGAAGTCACAGCTGTAAGACGGATATCATGAACCAAAGAACTTTCTGTGTTATTTACTCTGCCCGGTACATTCAGTTTTGGGGTCAGTCTGTTTGACATAGGCAGCCTGTTAATCCAAAAAGAGGACAAGAGGGTTTCTGTAGTTGGACAGAAGTCCTGTAATATGGACATCCGAATGGGAAGGAAAGCTCAATCACAAACCTCAAGTAGCAACAAGCTTATCTTGATAATCGGCTGCACCCACGGTCAGAATCAACTTTAGAGAAAAATACAAAAGCTGTCTTGACTATCTTTTTTAGACAGGCTGAGGTTTGTAGCGAGGTCGATGGTGAGCCTGAAGGCAAGGAATTCTAAGATAATGATGTTTCCGGTGTCTGAGATTTCCAGCCTGAGCGGAGGAGGAGGCATCTGCCAATTTCCTAAGGAACCAAGGAATTGCTGTGTTTGTTTCTGCTTTAGATAAAGACTTACGAGGCAAACTTCAAAAGAGGAGTTGGGAAGTATTGTATCAGAATGACAGCTTCTTTTGTTATGCCATCAACCAACCTGTCATGGAGAAACTAATCTCCCGTTCACATAGTATCTTCCCCGTTGACTGTATAAATAATCCGATTTGAAGTTGTCCTTCTCAACCGGTTTACTTCCCGGTTGCGCAAGCTAATGGAGTCAGTTTAGCGTAGTGGCACTTTCCTCGCCTTCCACCGATGAGACCCAGGTTCGAATCCCACCTGGACCAAAATGTGGATGGGTTTTCAGTCTTTATCTGGCTCCGTGGGGTTTTCCCGGAATATTCTTTTGGGGTTTTCCTCCCACCTCTAAAACTGTAATATTGCTTCTCATTGTCTCTTCTCTACAGGTTTCTTTAGGCTTGCGAGCTTGTTGTGAATGTGAACCCTTCAAAAGCAGGCTGTACCCATTATTCAATTTCAGAAGCGATATTAGCATATATTCTTTCTCTTAAATTATATGTTCGTTCATTTCTTGCAGCAGCCACATCGTGTGGCCTTTTGCCTTGTCGTTGGTGAACTTCATTTAAAATTTCAAACGAGAGTTAAATTTATACCTATCGTTAGTTGGCTCAAGTTGGCGCCTATAGATCGAGAGTAGTAAGTTTGCGTGTGAGGTATCGACTCGCCTCTCAACTTGTATGTGTTCATGCCACACGTGTTTCACATTACATGCCACATCACGGCGGATGTATCTGCACATTCGCGATAAAGATCGTTGGCGGAACGAACAACCCGATATGGGTGCGGGTGTCTACGGGTTCGAGAGGAAATATTTTGATTCATTACATTTTGGAACAGCGTTTTCCAGACGCTGCTATAAATTTGTGTTGTTGATATCGAACGAAACATCTGTTAATTGATGATGCGGTTCTGAGAAGGAATCGTTGCTTGTGGCCTCTGGAAAGTATTTCACCTGCGACCTGTTGGCAGTGTTGAGATCCGAAAGGCCTAAAATAGCAACTTCACCGTACTCTGATTGATGATGCTTTCATCATCAAAGGCTCTGGGCAGAAAGCCTTCAACGGGATATAAACGATTTTTGAACGTCGATTGCTTTGTCATGGTTGATCTTTCTCTGGTACAACAAGTTTCCTTGACATGTCTCAACATTCGTTCACTATTCGCATGTGCAGTGCAGAGGTCTAACTGTAGCCCTAGTACGTGTTCAATCCAGAATCCACCTGCTATTTTCTCGTGTTGCAGAGAAACCTTTGATTGAATTTTGGCGTTAACCCCAGTTATCCCCCATCGGGCATTCCACTGTTTGCAGAATGTTGTTGAGGCTTTGCACAGGTGTGCTTATCTCGCCTTATTAGGTCCAGTGGAATGGTTTTAAATTCGTTTGCGCATCGTTATCGGCTGTCATGAAGAGGAAATGTTTCTTTCTCTTGGTCCCTGCTTCAAAAAATATACCTGTCTGCAAATAGAATTCATTTGTGACTGTATCAAAACATGCACCATTTTATAAAAGGTGGCTGTTGGAAAGAAAATACCGTCCCCTGAGGCAGGCGGAGGAATTCAATTGAAAGTCAAGTTAAATGTGATTTTAGTTTATGAAATTCCTTTCCATATCTATATTTTCTTTGTCCGTCGCTGGATAAAAACAACAGACTGCGAAGTTGTCAACACGCCATGTCGATTTGGTACCCAGGAAACACCGCTAGGTACTGACACGAAAACCTTTTTTTTCCTTAAATGGGACATTGACCGAGAAGAACCTGTTGCGATGTATGCCAATTCTGTACATGAAATCAACGGTTTCAGTCACTTTCCTCACCTCCTAAGACTGTGGATTTTTTTGACTGGGCAACTACTGGTAGCAACACCTTCAAATTCAGCATAGCAATGTCCCTTAGGCTAGCTTTGCTTGTTAGTGGTTTCTTGTACTATAGTCAAACAGGCCCATTCTTTTTCGACAAAATACGGGTTCCAGACATCGGGGCACTTCCTACGATTTGGGAGACGATCCACTTCGGCCCATTCCTTCTCGCATCCTTCAGTCCCATCAGTCTTGTCTGGTTATACTTTTTCAATTTCCAGTTTTTGTTTACTTTATGATATATATTTGCATGTTCAAAGACAGTCTTGGACAGATTTGAATTTCCTGTTTTTTGTGACTTCCCAGTTGCATTCTTGATGTAGGAAGTTTTGCTTTGCAAACCATAAAGTTTGTCTGAATGTGAATATGATGCATTTAGCTGATTGTATATGCGGCGTCTCATCATCGATATCTTATATCTTCACTGCTCAGCATCCAATAAAGACGATAGGCTTTTAAATCGACACCTACCGTTCCCCCTTCGTCCCCACCCCTTCGAGATTACAAACACTTTCACAAGTGACTAATCTGCACGTTTCCCCCTCAATTAAATCGTTTCAATGCGATCGGGCGCTAGATCAAGGTGGTACGAAAACCGTATTGAGCAAGCCCGCATGTCAGAGTTCGCACTCAACCTCCAGTCACGAACTTGAGTGTTGAATTCATTTAATATCTTGGACGCCATAAATCATTGTGGTGGATGGTAAAGTTGGAGAGAAGTGGGAATGATTAATTCATTTGCACTTATGAGATTAGCAGTGCGATCTAGCCAGGTCGTTGCCCATACAGCTCACCGTGGTTCTGGTGGAGTTGGCAAAGAGGAAACTCAAACTTTTGGCTTGTAGGCCCATGCATGAAAAGCACAAATATCATAATTGCCTTTATCGTGCACTGCATGCTGTGTAAAGCAGTTGTGTTTTCTCGGTTCTATAGTCTTGTTTGGATCTGGACCCGTGGTACGAAAGGACGTTTGGGGGGGGGGGGGGGAATCGGGATCTCGCACCTAACAATGATAATAATCTACTGTGACAGAAATGGTGATTGGCTAAGCTTATCAACATTGCTCGATTCCAATCTGTAATTCTTTTAAATACGCCTTCAGCACATTCCTATCCACTCTGAGCAATCTTCATTCCTCCATCGATTGAGTGACCACTCTTCTGTAATGCCTTTAAGACGGTTGCCCTTGGACGCAAGGCAAGATACCGGGAGGGCACCGCGCCTCTCCAGGGTGACAAGCTGTTGATTCCCGCGTGGGCCAAGACTGCGGCTCGGACTATGGGTTAAAAAAAGGCCATCGGAAACGCCACAATGAACAACATCCACTGCTTTGCGTATATGTTCAAACTTTCTCAGCCCCTTCTTTTCCCTCCAAGAACTTGAACTGTTCCCCCAGAGAGCAGTGAGTCATCTCGGCACCTGGGGATGCCATATACCCTGTAGTCAATCCTCTGCAATTTTACAGCCACTCCTTTCAGAAAAAAAATCGTTTGCTTCGTTTCAGACAAACATTCTGTGTTTTTGTCAATGTTTGATCATGTTTC